ATACAGACTGAAATGTACGTAGCACTAGCGCACTAAGAGCAGACTCGAAACGCAGGTAAGGTCAGCGTCGGCTCAAAGCGTCGGCGCAGGATTTTGCTCGGCGGGGGTCGTACGGACCTGCGACGAGCTCGTCGTACGACCGCGGCTTGTACTCCGCCACGCCCGCCGCCGGATCCGCTTCTGCCGCCGCCGCCGCGCGCACGACTCGTGCTGCATTCGCGCTACTGCGCGACTCGTTGCGACGAACCAGCGAGGCATTCTTTATCAAGCGCGCTCTCCGCGTTGGAAGGGCGCGCGCCGGCAACGCCTTGTCGCTGCTGCTCCCCCCCAGTTGCGCTTGGCGCGCTTGCAGCCCGGCGTTGGAGTGTGCGACGGTAACGGCGTGCGCCATCACGGCAGGCGATGCGGCTCGCACGACGCGGAGAAACAACGCCGACTGACTCGCTGGCAGCCGCGAAAGATTGGTGGCGATGATGATGGATCGCGGGGGAGAAAGCAAATGCGATGGAGCTGCCTCTGTTGGGCCAAGCAGCGGTGAATCGACGTTGGTGCAACGCAATCGAGGCAGGGGCAGGAACCTGGAGCTCGTGACGTGGCGCTTGACGTGGTGAAATTGGAGAGACTGACAGGTGGCACGTGGAGGCTGTAGGCGAATTGGCAGAACCGTTCAAAGTCGCGAACGTAACGAGTTTCGATTCGACCCATCAATTCACGACGTATTTGTTCGAGCCCTCGCCGGTCGTTGGCGATATGCCACGCCCTAAAGAAGTTCAGGGCTCGAATGTGCACCATACTCAAAACAAACTGTATGTTACCGAAACGTTGTACCACATCCCCCCAAATTGGAGTGTGTTGCAACACTTCATGGGAAGACACCACCAAAACAAGTCTGTACAGTCGCAATGCAACAATAAAAGATGAACGATTTCGTAAGCACCAATCACATACGCATGCGGCTTGTAATACCGTCAATTCACGACTATTTGTTTTCGCTTTCGTGCTCGTAAACCATTCGGATCATCGACCAGTAACCAGACACTGCTCGACTTCTCTCACGCCAAGCCGAACCCGAAGTTACACGCCCTAAACTTCCAACCTAACAGAATATCAAACCAAACCGGCAGAACCTATTTCTCATACCTGTCTCCACATCTACCCGCGCCAGTCCCCCATTTCAGCCGTGCCCGCGTCAACCGTCTCGTACGTAGACCGCCGTTCGTCTGTGACCTGTCCTCTCAGCAGAGGGGGCTGAACTCGCGTGCCGTCACTTGCTGCGCGCCGATCGCACTCTCGCTGGTCCGCCATGGCACACGCAGCTCGCATCGCGCGGCAGGCCGTGCAGGCCGCGACGAGCGCGCGCGTGCGATTCTCCACGGAGGCGGCGAAAGCCTCGCGCGAGACGCTGGTGAGACGAGGGGCGGGTGGGGCGGGCAGCGGGTGAGCCCCACACCGAGCTGAGCGTAGCCGTCGATCTTACCGCGTCTCGCCTTGTGGGCGGTCGTCGATCTTTTCCATGCTGCCATCTCCCTCCCACTGCTGTAGCCCCCCCTGGCCGCGCGGTCCACCTTGGGTGCGCGAGGTGCACGACGCGAGGCGCGCTTGCCGCTCCACACTTGTCCACCTCAGCCGCATTATTTAGCGTTCTGCGCTCGGAAACCGCCCTCCGTCTTGGCATCTCGCTCGCTGGCCGCCCGTCACAAAGCCCCATCGCTTTCGTGCCATTGTCCCCCCTCCCGCCGCCTGCCCTCTTACTCTCTCTCCGACGCTCGTCCGTCCCTTCCCCCCCCACCTTCCCCCCGTCCCCAGCTGGTGGAGGACGACGCGGCGCTGCGCAAGTACAACCCGCAGAAGGCCGCCATGGCCGCCTGCAACACCGTTGGTAACGCCGTCACGGCGCTCGTGCTCGCAGGTACTGCACCGTGATGACGTGGCAGCAGCCCTCAGCACGTGGCTGCCTGATCACGTGGCAGGCCGATTTGATATTCATGCTTGTCGTGCCGGGTGCGAGCATCATTCGCCGGCCTATGAGCTTGTCTGTGCAGGTCATTGCAAGCTGGCATTGCAGCAAGAGCACCGGCATTGAGAAACGCATCCCACCGCACAGCGTTTGTTGCTGGCGTGAATCGCCAGTGCTGTGCGTGCCGCCTTCCATGCTGTGCTGCCACGTGCCCTCTCCCACTCCCTCACACTCGTGTGCCCCTCCCTCCCTCCCTCCCTCCCTCCCTCCCTCCCTCCCTCCCTCCCTCCCTCCCTGCGTGCATGCATGGCAGCGGCGGCCGTGGACCTGTCGTACCGCGTCATGAACGCGCGCACGGACCAGTGAGCCTGCCTGCGCTGCGCCACCTGAGGCCGTGCCACACGGCAGGTGCGGCACGGTGGTGATGCCCCCTGCATGGGCTGTGTGGCCGTGCCGTGCCATGCCAGACCATGCCATGCCATATGCACTGAGATTGCAACAAGACTTGTGGTGGCATGCATTACGACGCACAGGGCCGTCCTCCACTCACTACCTCTCGTCATGTGCCTCAATGCCACTGCCACCTCATGCCCCAGCCCCACTGCCTTCCCCGCTTCCCTAACCATTCATCCTCTCCACCCCGCCTGCTACCCATCCGCCCCTGACTTCTCCCCCTCGCACTCTTCCCACCCACCATGTCACCTCGAAGCCAGCACCATCACCCGCATCGCCGTGCTTGCCTCCACCACTATCATGCTCTCAACTCCACTGGCCGCTGTGATGCACATGGATGGCTCATACAATCACCAGCTAATTTCTGTGTATGGCTAGGATTCCTGGAATGTTGGCTGTGTACAGCAGTGTGCCTATCAAAACTGTGTTCAACGAGTGTAGTAAGGAAAGTTGAAATGGCATCAGCAAATTGTGAAATGGAATATACAGGTTTGCTACCCAACCGAAGAAGAAAACCTCCACGTATTATGACCTTCATGAGCACGCTCTAAAGCGAACCTGTCGTTCAGTTCAATCCCAGCTGCAGCCTACGATTGGTTAGTCAAAGCAATCTGGTTGCGCTACGTGGCGACATGCACCACTCCCGGCGCTCCTCGATTCTCTCGCCTCTACCGCCCACAGGGAGGCGAAGGGACAGGCCAGGCAGGCACCCAGCTGAAACAGAAGAGCTTCATTTCAGAGGGCGGCGGTTTCAATGAGTCAGGCGCGCTGTCGCGACGAGGTCCGCGCGAGCTGCGATGCGGAAGGCGGTGGTGACGAAGAGGGCTCTAGACGCTGCGAAAATGTGATCTCGTCGCGCCAGCTTCTTGCGTTCCTTCGTAGTTGTTCCACGCCGTTGGCGAGCTCTGGTGAAATTGTTGGCGAAAGCGCGGAGAAGGCGAGGCGAAGAATGGTTGAAACGTTTCTTGGCGCGCGAGAGGCGCGGGCGAGCGTTACGAGGCGCACGCGTGCTACGGGCGAATCGCGGATGAACCGGATAGTAAGCACGCGGCACGGGCAGAATGGAGGTGGGAGAGGCGGGTACCCGTGTGAGTGGGGTGGTAGTGCGGGTGCGGGTGGTGACGCGGAATGGCTCGGCGGCCGCAGCAGCGACGAGGAGGCGAGCAGCGGCGAGGAGGCGCGCGACGAGGCGCAGCTGGGCGAGCTGCTCCCCGTGGCCGGCGCCGAGTGGCTCGCGGACGCGCCGCACGCGGAAGTCGCGCAGGCGGAAACTGGTGAGGCGAATACTAGGCGGGCGGTAACGGGTCAGGCGGAAAGCAGGGAGGCGGAAACGGGGCAGGTGGAAACGAGGGGAGCGGAAACTATGGGGGCGGAAACGAGGGGAGCGGAAACGAGGGGGCCGGAAACGAGGGGGGCGGAAACGAGAGGGGGGGAGGTGGAGAGGGAAAGGGCGGAGCAGGCGCAAGGAGCGAGTGGAGCTGCTGACGCCCATGGCGCGCCCTCGGCACTGGCGACGCCCTCGGCACTGGCGACGCCGCACCCTGCACGTGCTCCCGCTGGTGCCACCGCGGGCGAGGCGCGCACAGCGCCCGCGCAAGTGGAGGCGACTGGCGGAGGGGCGGGGCTGTCGCTGCCTGGCGTGAACGCGCTCGCTGCAGCGCGGGAACGGGAAGAGGAAGAGGAACGGGGGGCAGGGGAAGGAGAAGGGGAAAGGAGGGAAGGGAAAGGGGAAGAGAAGAAAGGGGAAGAAAAAAAAGTGGAAGGGGAAGGAGAGGAAGGGGAGGGAGAGGGAGGAGAGAAAGGTGAAGGAGAGGGAGGGGAAGGGGAGAAGGCGGGTGGAAATGACGGGGGGCGGGGCGAGCAGCGCGCAGGCAGTGAGGGCGAGGCGGGACTCCGCGCGCGCCACCTGCTGGCGCTGCTCAAGGCGGCCGCTGCTGCTGGCGGGCGCTGCTGGCTGCCCGTGAGGTGCGCTGGCGAGGCGGGTGACAGCGACAGCACGGGGCAGGGCGGAGGAGGGGAGAGCGAGCAGGGGCGGCGGGTGGTGGCGGCGTTCCTGCGCGCGCGCGAGGCGGGCGCAGTGGTGGCGCGGGGGAGGGCGGGGCGAAGCGAGGAGAGGGCGCGGAGGAGGCGGAGGCGCGCAGGAAGGGGTGGGCGCGTGGGGAGGGGGCGCTGGCCGGGGGAAAGGGGCGCAAGGCGAGATGGCGGAGCAGGCAGGGAAGGGGACGTGGAAGCGGGGAATGGAGTGGTTGAAGGCGCAGAGGGGCGGCGAGAAGGGGGTGTGCGCACGAATGAGGAGACGGGCCATGGTGGCGATGATAACGAGGGGGGCAGCAGCGACGGCGGCGAGTGCAGCGACGGGCTGGAGGAGCTGCTGGCCGTGGCGGGGTTCGACCGCTGCGAGGAGGCCGAGGTGGCGGGGGAGCAGGTTGGAGAGGTGCGCGGTGTTGCAGCGAGCAGGGTGGTGGTGCTGCCCCGGCTGGCCCGCGTGCAGCATCGAGCTGAGTGGGCACCCGACTCGGTGAGTGGTGTGACAGAAAAGCATGTGTTTCACGTCACACACTGGCCTCTTTCATGCATCCCCACTCTCAACTATCCCCAACACCCCATCATCATGCCCAAAATCCCTCTTTGCATGCTCCAACCCCCTCCCACGCCCCCCCCTTCCCCCTTCCTTCCGGGTGTTTCTCTCACCACTCCCCTTCAGGCATGCGCCCTCCTTGCTGCCACCTACATCGCTCCCCATGCCTCTGCGCCTGCTGCTGCGGCGAGGGTACAGGTAGAGCGTGCGGATGCACTCGTGCTGCGCCGCCGCGACCGGCAGGCCAGCGAGTTGCGGCGGAGGAGCAGGTTGGCCGAGGCAGCTGAGGCTGCAGAGGCGGCACGGAGGGCGGCGGGCGGTGCGGCGCACTCACGTGATGGATTGAGAGAGAGACGGCTGCGGGAGCGGGAGGAGAGAGTGAGGAGGCGAGCAAGGGGGCAGGGAGGGGAGAAGAAGGCGGCGCTTGATGCACGCGGCAGGGCGATGGATGCAGGTGGCAGGGCGGAGGAAGCAGGTGCGGAGGAGGGCGGCATGGGGTTGGCAGGCGAAGGCGGCAGGCACGGTGTGACGCGTGCGGGCGCACTGCATGGTGGGCGCATGCACTGGCGTGAGCGACAACGCGGACAGGGAGGGGCGGAGGGTGGTCAGGGTGTGAGGCGGACAAGAGGGAGAGAGAATGGGATTGTGCGGGTGATTGAGCAAGTGGTGAGGGAAGAGGCTGGGGTGAGTGAGAGCGAGTCCGATGGGCTGGAGGGGGAGATGAAGGAAGAGGTGGAGGAGGGAAGAAAGAGACTGAGGCAGAGGGGGAGTGAGGGCGGTGGGGGGAGGACGAGACAGGAGCGGAAAGGGCGAGGTGGTGTGGGGGGAAGAAGGGCTGATGAGCGAGCAGGTGTGGAGGGCTGCAGGGACGTGGAGAGCGTGAGTGAGGCAGGGGTGGTGGAGAGGAGAGGGTCAGCAGGAAGGGAACACTAGGAGATACGGGTAGTGAGAAGGGACGGGTAAGTGAGGAGAGGGGAAGAGCGGGGAGAAGTGAGGAGAGGGGAAGAGCGGGGAGAAGTGAGGAGAGGGGAAGAGCGGGGAGAAGTGAGGAGAGGGGAAGAGCGGGGAGAAGTGAGGAGAGGGGAAGAGCGGGGAGAAGTGAGGAGAGGGGAAGAGCGGGGAGAAGTGAGGAGAGGGGAAGAGCGGGGAGAAGTGAGGAGAGGGGAAGAGCGGGGAGAAGTGAGGAGGAGCGGGTGAGAGATGGAGATGTGAGGGGCAGGCCCGTTGACTCGCGGCCGCGTCCTCCCCGGCAGCCCGTGAGGGATGTGGCAGGCAAGTTCGCTGCATGCAGTGCGGTGGCGGAGAAGGGAGGGAGGAAGAAGAGAAGGAGAGGCCAAGACGAGGAACGAGGTGCGGACGTGCAAGGCAGAGTGGAAGGCGGAGTGGGAGTGCAGCGAGGAGAGGTGCAGGGGAGTGGTGGTGGTGAGGGGGGCGTGCACGTGCAGGGCGCAGAGCGGGTAGAGAGGAGAGGCACGGGAGTCCCTGTGACTCCCCAACAGGTGGAGGGGAAGCGACGCAGAGTGGTTGTGGCAGCAGCGGTAAGACCACCAGCACAACCTGCACAAGCACCACCAGTAGTAGCAGCGAGAACAGAGTCTGCAGCAGCAGCAGCAGCAGCAGCAGCAGCAGCAGCAGCACCAGCAGCACCAGCAGCAGCAGCTGCACCAACACCATCAGCAGCAGCAGCTGCAGCAGTGGCAGCAACACCACCACCAGCGGCAGCAGTGGCAGAGGGTGAGGCAGCAGCAGGGGTGGCAGTGGGAAGTGGTGGTGGCGGTGCAGCGGAGGCGGGCTCGTCCCTGCGGGGCACGGTGCGGGGGGGGCTGCGGGCCATGGGGCTGTACGAGGGCAAGCGCGGCATCAAGGCGGAGCTGCGGCGCCAGCAGAGGGGCGTGGCAGCCAGTGCCATGCGCGCCGTGCAGGAGAGCAGACGGGAGGAGGAGCGCGCAGTGCGGGCCATGCGCGCCGTGGAAGCGGCGCAGGTGGCGCGGGTGGCGGCGGTGCAGGCAGAGTGTGACGCGCGCATCAATGCCTTCATGCACCAGCTCTTCCGCGACATGAGCACTCTGTGACCCGTGCTGCCGTGATGGCGCTGGTGCAGCGTGTGGAACGTTGAGTGAGAATGCGGTGACTGTCTGAAGGTCCTTGCACTGCGCTCCGGTACAGTGCAACGAGGCAAACAATATTTTGGCGGAGCCTCTCTGCACACTTTGGGTCTGCACGGTTTATGCTGTGGGTGTGTGTGTGGATAGTGAGTGAAAATGCGGTAGTGTGTTTGAGGAACATCCTTGGACCGCGGTTATAATGGCACTAGCATTTACAGGGCTAAAATGCAATGCAGCAGGTGTCATGATGACCCAACCCCAAACCCCGAGCCACTGGTTGTGTGATGGTTAGACTGGACTCTTGGGAGGAATGTTACTCCGTTAGTCAACATCCATCCAACAGCTCAAAGAATTACAGCCTAGAGTTGTGCTTCTTGGGCTGGTGAGATATTTACAATGTGGGCCACGCTTGTGCAAGTGTGGCAGCACCATGCCAAGCAAGAGGCACCTTCAGGCACGGCAATTCACAAGAGAGGCAACGCCGTGCATCGGCTGCTTCATGCATGAGTGCAGAGAATTCCATGGACTCTGTCAGCCAGGTGAGCATGGGAGAATGCACTCATGCACAACACAAGGCAGCTAATCAAGTGAGCAGGAATCATGGCAGTCCACCACCCGTGCATCAACAGCACGGGCAGCTTTGTCATGGGCGGGGCATGAGGGGTGGGGCGAGGCAGATGGAGGCGTGGGGGTGGGGCGAGGCAGATGGAGGCGTGGGGGAGGTGCAGCAGCAGGGAGGCGTGGGGGAGGTGCAGCAGCAGGGAGGCGTGGGGGAGGTGCAGCAGCAGGGAGGCGTGGGGGAGGTGCAGCAGCAGGTAGGCGTGGGGGAGGTGCAGCAGCAGGTAGGCGTGGGGGAGGTGCAGCAGCAGGTAGGCGTGGGGGAGGTGCAGTAGGAGGTTGGTGAGCCACAGCGGGTGGCGGCGAGCGGAGACAGTCAAGGGAGAAGGCGAGGCGACTGTCAGAGAGGGGCTGCGACTGTCAGAGAGGGGCTGCGACTGTCAGAGAGGGGCTGCGACTGTCAGAGAGGGGCTGCGACTGTCAGAGAGGGGCTGCGACTGTCAGAGAGGGGCTGCGACTGTCAGAGAGGGGCTGCGACTGTCAGAGAGGGGCTGTGACTGTCAGAGAGGGGCTGCGACTGTCAGAGAGGGGCTGCGACTGTCAGAGAGGGGCTGCGACTGTCAGAGAGGGGCTGCGACTGTCAGAGAGGGGCTGCGACTGTCAGAGAGGGGCTGTGACTGTCAGAGAGGGGCTGCGACTGTCAGAGAGGGGCTGCGACTGTCAGAGAGGGGCTGCGACTGTCAGAGAGGGGCTGCGACTGTCAGAGAGGGGCTGCGACTGTCAGAGAGGGGCTGCGACTGTCAGAGAGGGGCTGCGGGGAAGCCAGGGGCGGGATCAGCAGGAGGGTAGCCGAACACAGGGCGCTGGCACCTCTGTGGGGGGCAAAAGAGGGTGGGGGGGAGGGGGGGTGGGTGACGAGCAGGTATGAGAGTGTGGGCGCACGTGCATGTGTGTGGGAGTGCATAAGCGGTGGAGGTTGCAAGGGGTGTGAGGAGAGTGCAAGGGGTGTGAGGAGAGTGCAAGGGTGTGAGGAGAGTGCATAAGCGGTGGAGGTGGCAAGGGGTGTGAGGAGAGTGCAAGGGGTGTGAGGAGAGTGCAAGGGTGTGAGGAGAGTGCAAGGGGTGTGAGGAGAGTGCAAGGGTGTGAGGAGAGTGCAAGGGGTGTGAGGAGAGTGCAAGGGGTGTGAGGAGAGTGCAAGGGGTGTGAGGAGAGTGCCAAGGGGTGTGAGGAGAGTGCAAGGGGTGTGAGGAGGAGTGCAAGGGGTGTGAGGAGAGTGCAAGGGGTGTGAGGAGAGTGCAAGGGGTGTGAGGAGAGTGCAAGGGGTGTGAGGAGAGTGCAAGGGGTGTGAGGAGAGTGCAAGGGGTGTGAGGAGAGTGCAAGGGGTGTGAGGAGAGTGCAAGGGGTGTGAGGACGAGTTGCAAGGGGGTGTGAGGAGAGTGCAAGGGGTGTGAGGAGAGTGCAAGGGGTGTGAGGAGAGGTGCAAGGGGTGTGAGGAGAGTGCAAGGGGGTGTGAGGAGAGTGCAGAGGGGTGTGAGGAGAGTGCAAGGGGTGTGAGGAGAGTGCAAGGGGTGTGAGGAGAGTGCAAGGGGTAAGGGTGTGAGGGAGGAGTGCAAGGGTGTGAGGAGAGTGCAAGGGGTGTGAGGAGAGTGCAAGGGGTGTGGAGGAGAGTGCAAGGGGTGTGAGGAGAGTGCAAGGGGTGTGAGGAGAGTGCAAGGGGTGTGAGGAGAGTGCAAGGGGTGTGAGGAGAGTGTAAGGGGTGTGAGGAGAGTGCAAGGGGTGTGAGGAGAGTGCAAGGGGTGTGAGGAGAGTGTAAGGGGTGTGAGGAGAGTGCAAGGGGTGTGAGGAGAGTGCAAGGGGTGTGAGGAGAGTGCAAGGGGTGTGAGGAGAGTGCAAGGGGTGTGAGGAGAGTGCAAGGGGTGTGAGGAGAGTGCAAGGGGTGTGAGGAGAGTGCAAGGGGTGTGAGGAGAGTGCAAGGGGGTGTGAGGAGAGTGCAAGGGGTGTGAGGAGAGTGCAAGGGGTGTGAGGAGAGTGTAAGGGGTGTGAGGAGAGTGTAAGCCTCCTCTCATTCAACTGTGGAATGCATGGGAGTGGCGCGCGAGGGGATGTGGCAAAAGAGGGCGACAGCAACACGAGAGTGACAGTGCAGCGGCGGGATGAGGCGTACCTCGTGCAGCGGCGGGATGAGGCGTACCTCGTGCAGCGGCGGGATGAGGCGTACCTCGTGCAGCTGCGGGATGAGGCGTACCTCGTGCAGCTGCGGGATGAGGCGTACCTCCTGCAGCTGCGGAATGAGGCGTACCTCGTGCAGCTGCGGGATGCAGCAGGGCAGGCAGGTGAGCGGCCAGCAGAAGATGAACGCCACGATCGCCGCCAGCCACCCCACGCCGCTCAGCGTCGCCGTCGCACAGCACCCCGTCTGGTGGGGCGAAGGGGAGAAAAGGGATGGCGCGCCAGGCATACGTGAGGCGAGGGAGAAACGGGAACGTATTGTGCGGGCGAGCATGGGGAGGGTGGGAGGTGGTGCTGTGATGACGGCGAGGTGGGCCGTCCACTCTTGCATGCACTAGGTGGGCCGTCCACTCTTGCATGCACTAGGTGGGCGAGTTCATGCGAACGCGTCTAATCGATTCAAACGACTCAAACGCACCAATGACTTGATCCTAGGAAATGAGCAGCCGGCGGGTGGGTGACGCGCGACTCACAGGCGGCGCGCAGGTCTCGTAGCCGAGGATGACCATATCCGGCGAGGGCGGCACCCGCGGCGGCAGCATGTAGAGCCCGGGGATGGGAGCCGGCGAGAACACGGGGAACTCGCCGCCGCTCGCCCCGTGCGCCACCACCACCACGGCGGACGGGCAGCCCGGGGGAGGCGGGAACTGCGGCGGATACGCCCCGCGCGCGGGGGGGTGGTGCGGGTGGTGGGCGTACTGAAAGGCGGGTAGGCCGGAGGCCGGCGCGTGGCTCGCGGCGGCATCTGCGCCGCCGTGCGGGGGAGCTTCGGACGACTCGCTCTGTGGCTTAAGCGGCGTGGAATCCGACGGACCTGCTAGACAACGCACACGAGAGAGACGGACGTAAACGGAAACAGTTAACGTGACGACACGTTGACAGAATTGTTGTCCCGTTTAACAAGAGACGGAAGCGCGCGATTGGAGCGAAATGATGAGTGGCGATGCTTCACGCGGATAGCTATCGACGGCTGTCCGCGTACCTTCGGGAACGAAACCCATGTTGACTCGATCTGCGGACAAGCGACGCGCAAGCACGTGGAGGACCGTTGGGCGACGCGCAAGCAGGTGGAGGACCGTTGGGCGGTCGGCGTGTGAGAACAGCAGGAACGTCTGTGATAGGGGCTGTATGCACGGCGAGGTCGTTGTTGGTATTTGCTACGCGTCTGTCAGGGGAATTGTATTAGTCCGCTTCTACATGTACAACATATACACAAGCTGTCAGTACTAGGAACGCCACTCGCTAGTAATCTGGGAAATCCCCAGGTTGGGATGAAGGAGGTATGATGGGTGCTGTGCTGGCGTCAGACTGCCGTCATGCTGGCGTAAGCGTTGCATGCATCAAAGCAGAAGCATACGCCGCGATTGGCGGAATGGTGACAGGTGAGCGAGTTTGCGCGTAGCAACTGCTGCCGCGACAGTTACTCGAAGTCGACGGGGGAGCGGAGATGGGGTGAGCGGGGAGAGCGGCTTGAGGGGAGCGCGCAATTCGGCTGAAGGCGCACGGCAGGAGGATGAAGGGGTGTTGCGTGCGGTGCACGCCGCGATATTCACCATGTTATAAAACTGTGAAGGAAGCGAGTGCACAGAGTTGTCAATAACGAAAATGATTATTACAACATTTCATCATAAATATGAGAACTTACCAAAATACACATTCTCCTTTCTTGGCAAAGTCGGCACAGTAAATTCTCCGCTCTAGCTGCAGGGGTGGCCCTAACCGAACCTTGCACTTTACCTGGGTTCCTCAAGTGAAGATCCTATGGTATGGTGGTACATGAAGATAACGACTTCAAAAAGCCTACGTACTCAAGTTACCTAACAACGTCCGGGACTCTTCAAAGTCTGTTTCTTTACCATCATCCAGGTCATAGGCAGGGTACTCTAATCTACAGTACCACCGGACCACCCACTCTACACCCGCACCTACAGCCATCCCCACAGCGGAAAACCCTACAGCAATCAGATAGGGAGGATAATCGTACGCGTCTAGAAACGTCCGAGCCAAAGACTCAACATAGGTCTCCCCGGGGCGCTGTTGTGACTTGGCCCAGACCACAAGGGCGAGAAGGCCAGAGGCGCAGCCAGTTGCAGAAGATGCAGGGGTGATGCAGACACGGGAGAGGGGGCCTTGCAGCACGCCGAGCAGCAGAGGCAGGAAGGACGTGGTGTTGATGAGGTTCACGAGGAGGAAGAGCTGTAGCACGTTGAAGCCTTGTAGCGAGACGAGCAGTGGCGGTATATTGAGGATGAGAACGAGGGCTCGGATAGAGGAGATGGTGAGGCCAGGCCCATGGTGGGGAGGGGCTAAGGCGGATGGGACGGGATCAGGATGAGTGGCAGAGGCAGGTGGCGCGTGCACCGTGGTAGCACCAGCAAGAAGAGGGCAGGCAGTGGGAAAGGAGGAAGGAGTTAGCAAGGTGCGGTGAACGAGGGGAAATGGGTCCGTGTGTTGAGGTTGAGATGCCTCTCTCGCACCACCTCCTGCCTCCACATGCTCCGTGCACTGCACCTGTGTCAGCCTCGCCTCCTCCTGCCGCTGCAACGCTGCCCTGCCCGCCCTCTTTATCATGCACGCGGCGCTTGCTGCTGGCAGAGCAGGAGGGGTGGGCGAGCAGGAGGGCGGCGACGGCGTCAACGGTGGCGTTCTGCAGCGAGTCCACAGCGGACTCGCTCATGGTGACGGCCAGCAGCGCCACCCGCCACCAGCGCCCATGGGTGCCCGCGGAACAGCGAGAAGAGGATGGTGTTGCCGCTGTCGTCCGGGCCTTCCGGCTCGTACACACCGCTCCACGCTGCTAGCAGACCTGCGACGGATGGGGCAGAGATGGTTGGGAGAGGCAAGCATGAGGAGAGGAGTGCGCGTGACCACTGCATGGCAAAACAGCCTGCGCGGTGCGGGAGACCAGACCCGGCAGTACAAGGCAGCAATGCAAAGAAATAGGGATGTGGCAATAGCAGCAGGTGCATGGCAGCACATGGCAGCAGGTGCATGGCAGCACATGGCAGCAGGTGCATGGCAGCACATGGCAGCAGGTGCATGGCAGCACATGGCAGCAGGTGCCAGCAGGGTGGCGGCAGCAGTGCTCTCACCGGCGAAGCCCAGCAGCCCCACGACGGCCGTGATGGCACCTGCTCCCAGCGCTGCTCCCCCCAGCAGCGCCGCCGCGCTCGCTGACGCCCAGCAGCTGGGGGGGGCGGGGAGAGCAACGTGCGAGAGGAGGGGGGTAGCCCGGAGAGATGCATGAGAGGAGAGACAGGAGAGAGACACAAGACAAGAGACAGGAGGGGAAAAGAGAGATAAGATGGTGAGGAATCGAAGCAGTGGCAGGTGGGTGAGAACCCACATTCCTCATTCACGTTCATTGAATCACGTCAGCCTACTACTGTTCAGTGCTGCAATTCGACCGCACGTGCCGCAAACACGGCCCTCACCACTGCCACATGGCTCTGACCGCATCTCACCACATCTCACCGCTGCCACATGGCCTCGTTGAAGAGCGTGGTGGCGAGCAGCGAGAGCGGCATGAAGAGCACCGCCTCCACCCCCCGCGGGTTCGACCACCCCAGGGCAGGGGGCAGCGGTGGGAGTGGCGAGGGGAAGTTGAGGAGCACGTGTGCCGTGAGCAGTGCTGTGAAGATTAGACTCGCCAGGGCCTGCTGGGGGGGAGTGGGGGGGAGGGCAGGAGGGAGAGAGGTTTGGGCAAGAGGAATGGATGGATGGAGGATAACGGGAAGGTGACGAGGAGGAGGCCGACAGAGGAGGCAGTGTAAATGAAGAGTGAATGAGTGGAGGGGCGGGGAGGGGGTGCGGTGGAGGGGAGGGCACAATGGACAGAGCAAGTGAGCCAAGTAAGAAGCAGAGCAGTGGGCGGGCGGCGTGCCTGGCATTGGTCGGTGACGATGGAGACGTAGAGCCCGCCGGCAGCGGTGTAGAGCATGGCGGTGGCGGCTGTGAGCATGACGATGGGCAGGCGGGGTGCGTGCAGCAGGCGGTGGAAGAGGTCGCCCAGCGCCGTGTACTCCGCCGCCATCGCCACCCCCATGTTGCCCACCGCCAACAGTGATATGTACAACCGCGAACGGGCTGCCGTGATGTTGTTGGGTGCAGAGAGATAGGGGGGGGAGGGAATGTGAAGGCAGGAAACGCATGGTGTGCGTTGAGGTGGCAGCACAGCACGCCCCGTCTGTGACTGCTGTGCACATGCCACCGTGCTGACGACACGAGGCGCGCCACAGGACAGACGGAAGTGTGCAGCGGCACCAAGTGGTGGGCGGGAGTGTTGGAGGAGGGAGAGCGAGAGCAGCATGCAGCGGGTGGAGTGATGGCGGCCACAGCAGAGCAACGCCACACACAGGCCGGACGCACTGAGAACGGGGCATCACCACCTGGGGCTCGGAGCCAAAAGCGTTCGACCTCTGCCCCTTGTGCCCCTCTCCCTCCCTCACAGCCCGGAGCCATGGGCGCGCCATGGCATGGGCGAGGCGGTCACCAGTGTTGCCTTGCCATGGACGTGCTCCACTCCACTCCACCTCACGGGCGGGATCCCCCCCACACACTCGCCCTCCCACCCACGCACCACACGCCGCATCTCGCTCGCATGTGTTCAAACCCAAAACCCTCCTTCCTACCCCTCCCCCTCCGTGGGAGTTGAAGCAGCGCCGTGCAGCACTCACAGGCCGAAGCGGCGGCGCACATAGTCGGCCATGGACACCACGTTCGGCACGAGGCGGTGCACGGCGGCGCCCACGCACGCCACGAGCAGCACGGGCAGCCCCGCGCACGACCGCGTACACGAGCGTGCCCATGGCGCCCGCCGTCAGGCAGTAGCTGGGCGGCCCAAACAGCGCCCACGACCCCATCGCCGACGCGAAGAACGACCTGCGCGCGGTGGAGAGCGGTGGAGAAAGGTGTGAATGGAGGGGCAGAGCAACTGCGCGCAGGAGCTGACGGACGGGGCGGAGAGGAAGGGCAGCGGATGGACGGTACGGGGAGATCATGCAGCCCGGAGAGGGGCGCGGAGGGCAGCGGTGGGAGGTGAGAGGTGGGTGGTGTGAGGCAGCGCACGACGGTCGCGCGGGAGAGCGTGAGAAGGGGTAGCCTTCCCTGCGACGCACCATGCGACCATGGACGTCTTGACGGATCGGCGCGCAGTGAGGAAGAAATCAGGCGAGTCGGGCCCTCCCTGCAGCTTCTCCCGGTGCGCCGCATACGCGCACGCGCCCAGGCCGAACGCTAATACCACCGCCACGGCGAGCGTGTACGCGATATAAGAAAATTCCTCCATGGCTTGTAACGAAGGTTCCCTCCATCCCAAAAATCCTAACACCGAAGTGGCGTCGAAAGCGAGGGATACCATGAAGCGTGGGGTAACCCCACTTCCCAGTTCCCTCAAAGAACCCCGCGGGTTACCGAGGGTAAGCGACAGCAGCGAAATGGTAATGCGCTCGCGTTGAGTTTCGGGAAAACAATTGTGCCCAATCAGGCTAGAGCTATGTTCGTTGAATCCGGGATTTCCCCAAGTACAACACATCAGGTATTGTAAGGAAATTCCCTTTTCCTTACTTCGCATCTCTGCTCAACGCGTACATCACTGTAGCACCTCAGTCAGCACCGTTACCACTCGCGACCATCGCATCATTCATCATCCCGCCATTTTCGCACATCGCATCCGACCTCACGGCTCGGCTTGTAACCCGCGCTCCGGGCCTACGCTTCGACACGTTCCCAACCTCAGTCCCAGGCTCGTCGCGCGACCATTACCGTTACCACTGTAGTTTCGCTATACATTCTTCGCTCATACATTCGCTCATTGTACTCTTGCTTCGATAGTGCAATTCTCGTTCGTTCACTCAATTGCACTCGTAACACTTGGTATTTAGAGCCTACGATCCCATCTCGGACCGCATCCACAGCTTCACTTCCCCACTATCTCAATTTTTGGGGGGGGTTAGACGTCTCTCAGCGATACAGCACCGCCGCTTCGTAGTGCTCTCTCGCAAGCAGGCACGGCCACGACCGAGGCTCTCGCTGAGCTTGCCCGACACCCCCGCCATGGCCGATTTCACCGCTCGCCACATTGACGCAGGAGCAACTTGATCGTCTCGTGCGTCAACTGGAGGATTCGGCGCTTGAAATCGCGACCCTCACGGCGGAACGTGACTCCGCCCGTCAACAATCCACGATGAACGTACCGACGACATCCCACGCACCAACAAACGCATCTGCACGTTCGGATGAGCCGATCATCATCTCGTCCGGCACACCAACACAACACGACAGCACGGGACAACGCTCAGGCGCAGCCAGTGAGGGCGCCGCCCAGCCGATGCCTGGCATGGGAGGAAACAGGATCGCACCAAGCCCACGGGAGCCTCGAGAAGTACGTCGGCACGTGGAATTTGCAGCGACAAGTGGCGAACAACCCAACATGGCACCAATGCCGCTCAAGCCGCAACGCCCCCCGCCCTGCTTCGACCCAAGTCAACGCGGCGGTCCGACAGTTCAAATCGTGGGTCTTCACGATGAACGTTTTCTTCGACGCCAATTACGTCGAGTCCGACGCCGCAAAGATCCGGTATGCGGTTTCACTGCTAAGAGGCCCCGCCATGGACTGGTGGCGAGTCATCGTGACGTCGCCACGCGCCTACGAGCCACCGTCGCACGAGGAAGGGCCCTCGGGTCCAGCTGTCACCTGGAGTTCGTTCTGCGAGACCGCCCAATACAGCACGTGGGATGCGTGGTGCGCAGGACTTCGGGCGCGTTTTGAGCCGATCGCGGCTTCAATTTCGGCGCGTCAGAAACTGCGCACTTGGCGCCAGCTCGGGTCAGTTCAAGACTATACCAGCAGTTTTCTCGCACTTTGCGAGCAGGTCGGCTACATGCACGAAGCGGAGCGGGTGGACCGTTACGTCGGAGGGCTGAAGCCGGACATCTCGCACGAGATAATGCTGCGCGGACTCTCTAACTTCAACGAGATTCTCGCGCTCGCCGAGAAGATCGACATTCTACGCCGACCGAGACCGGGGTCCTATTACGGACATCGTCCTCGGGGACCGACCGAGCACGCCACTGTACACGCCGTCGCAAAGAATGCAACTGCCGCACCGTTTAAGGGGCGCTGCTTTGCTTGCAACAGGCCGGGCCATCGCAAGAGCGAATGCCTAGAGGAGCTGAGGCGCCGAGGAGCAGAGCAGGGGAGAGAGTCTCAGAGGCAGGGAAACGCCAGCAGTCAGTAGAAGTTGGGCCAACTACTGACGAGACTGCCTGCTCGCCCAACCACACCGACCCTCACCGAGTCACAGTACCGATTCATGCCATCGATTGGGCTCGGATGAATAAGGAGGGTACAGCGACGGATTGCCCGGTACTTATCTACGGGGAAATACAGGGAGCAGCAGTGAAGATTTTTATTGACGGAGGAGCAAGTCACAGCTTAGTTAATACCGCAACCGCACGGAAATTACAGTTAACACTTAACCGATGCTTACCTGAGATAGATGCACGCTTAGTCGACGGCACGCCACTGGCTATACGGGAAAAGGTGGAGAGGGTAAAGGTCCGCTGCGGAGGGAACTTCGGGTTTACACAGGAAATGCTCGCAACGACACTGGATGGGCACGACATTTTATTGGGACGTGATTGGCTGCGACGGTATAACCCACGAATTGACTGGACGACGGGTAGCTGCACAGTGCGAAGTAGTGGTAACTGGGTCGTCCTACCTCGCTGGCAGCCACCCGAGTCTTCGACGGTCCAGGTCAACGCCATCACGATGAAACGGGCTGTCGCTGCTGGAGCTGACGTGTACGCAGTGGATATCGCATTAGTGGAAAAAGAGGACCGGCCGAGTGATTTGCAGAAACTGTTGGCAGCCGTACCACCCGAACTACAGGCACTACTGAAACGGTTCCCGGGTATCTTTCCGGATGACTTACCGCAAGGGCTGCCACCTCAGCGGGCGCATGACCATAGGATCGAGTTAGAACCGGGGGCACAGCCAACTGTACAGCGCCAATTTCGACTGACACAGCCCGAGCTCGACGAGCTAAGGAAGCAGTTAGATTACCTGTTAGAGAAGCAGTTTATCCGACCGAGCTCGTCACCGTTCACCGCACCGATACTGTTCACACCGAAAAAAAGACGGAGGGTTTCGCATGTGCATCGACTATCGAGCGCTTAACAGGGTAACAGTAAAATCACGATAACCCCATCCCCCGCGCCGACGAACTGATCGACCAGCTACGAACCGCACGAGTATTTTCGAAAATCGACTTACGGGGAGGTTACCATCAAATTCGGGTCGAACCATCCGACTGCGCCAAGACAGCATTTAGGACTAGGTACGGGTCATTCGAGTACACAGTGATGCCTTTCGGGCTGACCAACGCGCCTGCAACATTTCAGATGACCATGAACGAGGCGTTTAGGCCAATTTTAGATAAATGCGTCATAGTTTACCTCGACGACATCCTCGTTTACAGTCGGGACCAGCAGCAGCACTTAGTAGATCTCGAAGCAGTTTTTAAAATTTTAGAGGCACATCGGTTACTCACCAAGGGCTCCAAGTGCGAGTTTTTTCGGGACAGGCTAGAGTTTTTAGGTCACGTCATTTCGGAGGCTGGGGTTGAGAATAGACCCTAAGAAGCTGGATACCGTAAAAGCGTGGCATCCCCCGACGAACATCACGGAACTACAGAGTTTTTTCAGGGTTTGTTAATTACGTTCGTCGGTTCGTCCCCGACATGGCGCGCTCACTGATTTACTGCGTAAGGGGGTCCTTTTTACGTGGGGGGAGAAAGAGCATGCTGCCTTCTTTGCCCTGAAAGATGTTCTCTGTTCACCACCCGTCCTACGCATCGCTGACCCACACCGCCCCTTCGAAGTGGTTACAAACGCAAGTGACATCGCCATCGGAGCAGTACTGTTACAGGACTTCGGCAACGGCCTCCAACCCATCGCCTACGAATCACGCAAGCTACATCCACCTGAGCGAAATTACCCGATACACGACCGCGAAATGCTCGCGATCGTGCATGGCCTTCAAAGTGTGGCGCTGCTACTTGACCGGCGCAGGACGTGACAGTACGGACAGACCATCGATCCCTACAGTACCTTCGCGCACAGCCCCACCTCAACCCACGACAGATTCGGTGGCTCGACTTCCTCGAGTCGAATTTCCACTATACGGTCACATATAAAAAAGGGAGCCTCGAATATCGCCGACGCACTGACCCGCCCCACCTGCCCAAATCCATGCGATACTACTCGCCCAGACCAGCCCGTGACTGACAAGACTATTTACCCACGGATATCAAACAGACCCATTCTTCACAGGAGGAAATTCACAGCAATTCGCAGCAGCCAAGGGGGTCTATTACGTAAAAGCTGGATCCGACCGCATCTGGGTACCAGGGTACACGCTACTACGGGAACTACTGTTACAGGAGGCACACGACGGAGTTACCTCGGGACATTTCGGAGTAGAAAAAACACGGCAGCAGCTGCAGCGGTACTATTCTATTACTACTGGCCGGAAATGTTGACCAGACGTGCAACGACACGTGGCATCGTGTCCCACTTGCCAACTCATGAAGTCAACCAGGAACGCGGCCGGCAGGACAATTACAACCAATCCCACCTCCAGAGCGTGCTTGGCAAGCAGGTGACGATGGACTTCGTCACGGGGTTACCGGCCGGGGCGAGTGGGAATGACGCGATCCTGGTCGTCGTCGATCGACTAACGAAAATGGCACATTTCGCAGCATGCAGGAAATCAATCACAGCCGAGGAAAAAGCCCGACTCTTCATCGCCACCGTCGTTCGACTGCACGGGATACCAGCGTCAATCATCAGCGACAGGGGACACGAAGTTTACCAGTAATTTCTGGCGGAACCTGTGGCAGCAGTTCGGCACGCGACTTCAATTCAGTTCATCGTATCACCCCGAAACCGACGGACAGACAGAACGGACAAACCAGACTATGGAGCAACTCATTCGAGCCACGTGTGACGATCCAAACACGTGGGAGCAGCAGCTGCCTCTCATCGAGTTCGCATAAAACAACGCGCCATCTGCCAGGACCCAACAGTCGCCATTCTACTTGAATTACGGACAGAA